GAACACAAATATGACATTGAACACAACAGATGCACCACTGCCCTATCTACGTATGCTTCGACCCCTGGCATAAGTGCTAACTTGCAGAACGCGCAAATCATTAAAATGTCACACAGAAGAGAACACGTACGAACGCTAGAAGCTTTGGAAATTTATAAAGCAGGATTACGTAATAGCTGTATCAACTATAAAGATGCTATTAATATTTCGGCAGCTTGGAGGTTTGCGTATGAAGCAGAATGCCCCCACAACTCTATGTAAGGTGTTATACATCGTTTACATGTATATGTAAAATAATATTTGTGAATATTTGGGTTCACGTACGTAATGATTAATACGCATGCGCGTAATGAATTTTATTCGCAAAGATGTATATGTTCCAAAATGTTTAAATATTTAAGCACAACGATTTTCGAATATCAGAATTTAAAACCTGAGGAAGACTGAGGAAGGCAGTCGAAAACGTTTGTTGTTTTCATTAAATATATTTTTACTGGTCAAGTAAAGGTTTTTATGTGTGTTTATATTAAGTTTTTAATAGTAAAGACTTAATATTTTGTTCTATTGGTGTCTGAAGAAGACATAAATTACTGGTAGATTTTAAGTGTCACCAGCAGGACATATTTAATCTAAGGCTAATTACATGTATTTAGTTTAATTTTAACATGTTTTTTAGTATGTCATATTAAAATGGAACTATAGATAGCTGAATTTAATTAATGCATCTTTAACAGTGGATGAAGTTAAAATAACACTAATGTTATTTTAAGTTAGATATTACTACTACTATATAGGGTGATCTATTTTAATCAGTTCACTATAATAACTTGAAAAATATGCTACTACAAAAAATCCTTGAATCAAAAATGATTCACCAGATTTAAGGATGGCCAAAAGACAAGGCCATCAGCTTTATCATTGATGGTTAATCTGTGAAAACAGGGTCAACTTTATTTTCTTAAATGACAATCTCCATTTTATTGCATATTATGATTCTACATCAAAAACAATTTTTTTGAAAGATGCACTTATCAGAAGTTATGAGCAATTGAAATTTTATACTGTTGCCACACTGTGCATAGCATGTCTGTGGATATCATTGGCAAAAGGAAGAAAAATGCTAAAATAGTCATTATAAAACTATTATTATTTGGTAGAATCATACTTTTTTTCTAAATAATGAACTGATATAATGTTTTTAGGACAAGTTATTTTCAATAGTTACCTGATAGATCTATATGCTTTCCATGGAAATGAGAATGGGCAAAACTTTCTGGAATTTACAAGAGATGAACTTCCAGTTTTGCTTGAAGATATTGATCTTCTTACAAGATAAAGTGTGGATTTGGTTAAATTAAATATTTTAAAATTTAATTATTATTTTCAGTTTTAATTAACTTGCTACCTAGTTATGTATAAATACAGATAAATACCCAATTTGCTGATACTCCTCCTCCAAACATGAGCTGGACATATCACCTTATTGGGTTTGCCGACATACCAGATACTGTGTTAATGGAATTTCACTGTATATCAAAAATCTGATATAATTTTATTGAAAATATTAGTGTTGACTGTTTTGAAGTTTTGAAAATAGCAAATACAAAGTTTTTACATCTTGATTCTTTTTACTAATTAGAAATTTACTCGTTATGATTGATGTTTATTAAAATTCTTACCCAGTTGGTAAAATTAGTGGATGTCAAATATATTGAATGCATTTCAGAATTATATTTTAGTGATTTTATTTTTAAAAAATAGTTAAAAAAATAACTAAATGAAAAATTATTTATACTGTCTATATAATAATTATTAAACAATGAGTATTATGTTTACAGGCAGTGTCCTAATGGTTCCATTTGTTTGCCCAATTATGGTCCCAATCCTGATAACAATTTTACAAATTTTGACACGTTCTACTGGGCATTTCTTGCATCTTTCCGACTTATGACTCAGGATTTTTGGGAAGGCTTATATCAAATGGTATGTTTTTATATAATTAATGTATATTAATATATTGTAATATTAATTATATGTAATAGCAGAAAATTAATGCTGCTATTAGTAATTGATCTTTTATATAAATTTTGCGTGTTTGATATTACATTGCAATATATTTTACTAATGAATCCATTAAGTAATTGCCAAATATTTTCAAGATGCATTTTTCTTTGTCTTGTTTATTACAGTAGTAAATCTTAAATAGAACAGTTTTATATATTTAAATTCATAATGATAAGTTTATATAAAAATTTTCATTTTTTTTTCAAATTTTAAATATTATAGTATGTTATATAAACATACAAAAATTGAAAAATCAACTTAATTTTGTCAAATTATCCTTTTGTAATTTTATAAATTTTATAGTGTATATATTATTTTAACTTTGCAAATCAGTTTACATTTTATTATAATCTTTCTCTATTTTATCAAGAAAAAGGAAGAAATAAAACAATTGAATACAAGTACAGTAGAGCATCGATTATCCGAATATCGGTCAATCGAAATGTCAATTAATCGAAAGCTTTCCAGTTGGCAAATTTAAATTTCTGCTAGTGCTGTGTCGCTGCAATCTTTGGCTATGTTTTGGGATACTCCAATATTATTTTTGTTGGTATGCATGTTTTAGCTGGCAGCACTATGAGAGGGTACTTAAGGATGTGCCAGGATTTGAATGAATTTCAACATTGGATAGGTTAATATATTTTTTCATACATCTGAAAATATATTTTTTCATACATCATAGGTTATCTGAAAAATCGATTTTCCAAACAACCCCAGTCCCGAATTGATTCGGATAATTGATGCTCTACTGTATATGTCTTGATCTATTTAGAGGGCATTACAACATACTGTATTTGTTTTTATAACACTTAACTATTTGATGAAAAGCAAATTTTTTATAATTAAAATAAACTGAATTAACTTAAATTTCAGTTAAAATTTAAGTTAATCTCATACTAATCTTTTGTGAAAAATTATGATGAAAAACAAATAATAATAATAAACAAAATAGTAAGTAACGAAAAAAATTCATGTTTGTTGGAAAGGTACTCATTGTCTGTCTATATTAATGGGAACAAACAAGAACTTGAACTTGTGAGGTATCAATTTTGTTTGGGATGTAAAAATCTTTTTGAATTAAGAGAATAAATATTTAAATTTAGACTTGGAATAACCACATTCTGTCACAATCTTATTTGTAACATACATACAACTCCTAATTTAAGAGATTCCTTGAGGAAGGGTAGTGATAAGCCATATAGATAAATGATACAACAGTATTATTAATAAATCACCCTTATTGAAAAATGTTTTTTTTTATAGGAAATTCAGGCAATAAATTCATTTTACAATAAAGGCTAAATTTAAACCATCTAATTGTGCGATTTGTAATTCTAGGTAAAAATGAAATTAACATGCTTTTTTCTGTTGTATATTTAATATAAGTACCATAATTTTTTGTAATTAATCCATGGCTTATCTGTATTTTAAAGTCAATTTGAAAGAGAGTGTGGGATATGCACCACTGCAGATTATTTGTCAATTTTAAATTGCAATTAGAACCTCACCCAACAGCTTTTCCTTTGTGTAAGCTTACTAAGATCATCTTGAAAAATTATGGAATATCTTTTACCTGCTACACATATTCATCTCTTGTAATTAAATGTAGGACACTTCCGTGTTGCGGTGTTATTGGCAGCGATTTGTTAATTAATCTCTTGTCTTTGCTGGTTTCTAAAAAATCACATGTGCTTTATCTTTAGCTGTCCTTTATTTTCTACATGTCAATAAATTTTTTAATTCATATTACTAGGCACTCCTTACACTTGTGCCTAGAAAGCTGATAAATTTCTGTTAATTCCCTCCTTTCTATTTAGTGATTGTCAGAAAACTATTTAGACATTGATTATCAGTTTTAGCATATGCTAGATTTCTACAGTAAATAAGAGCTAAGCAATTAATCAATCTTGAATGAGTGTGGCTTTGCCGATTTACCAATCACCAAAGGTTTTAGCTTCTTTCTGGTTAAGCTAGTGCACAGAAGAACTATGAAATGTTCTTTAGAAAGTTTTTTACTTTTACATTTGATACCCTTCATAATAAGGCTCCTTTCAGGCATTGCCTTGAAAAAGTTTTCAGCATTAAAGATGCTGAAAACTTCTTTTTGAAAGTCATTTTTGAAGCCAGTGGCAAAGTCTGGAAAGTTTTGAATGAATTCTCCAACAAATTCTATTGGAACTTCTTTAGATTCACACACAACACTTTCTGGGACTATTATTATGGTGCAACTATGCAGATGCAAACGAGTGAATTTTCTGAGAGAGTGAGAATATATGGTGAGAGAAGACGAAATGCAATAAATATCAAACCCTGTCAGATATGTGTGAGAACCAGAAATTTGCTCTCTTCAGCAATATTTCTTGCTTCTCGCTTTGCATGGTTCTCATTTGCGAGAACTATATCTCTCGCAACCTCCCGCTTGCTCTAAATTTGTGTCTGCATAATTGCACCCTTACAGTTTAAATTTCTCTAGTGTGAGAAGCTGGGGGCAAAGGGGAGGTTTCTTAAAGACACTTTAGTTGGTGATGGTTTGGTGAAAACTGCTCATGTTGTCAGTGGATGGCTTTGTAGATTATTGGAGACAAGGAAATTGAGAGATTTCTGTATCGTCAGAATCTGACACCAGTTAGGAGGGTTAAATGCATTCTAATGCACAAATCATAAACAAATGTGGAGTAAGAGGGTCAGTTCAACTGTCGAGTGGGGAGCGTGGTAAGTCGATAGGATGTCCAAAGTCCTAGAAAGACAGGTTAACAAGTAACAAGTTTAATATATCTCTAAGTCTGAGATTACAGAGGACTATGGAATACACATCTAAGCTACTCGCATCAGCACGTCACTTGCGAGTTTCTCGGGAAACCATTCCCGTTCTATCTACATTTAGGAGAGAGAGAGAGAGAGAGTTTACATATGGGCTAACAAAATACTTCTGAGGAAGAAATGTTGTCCTCTATTTCCCTCGGGGGAGTATATGGTGTTCTAAGGTGATTTTTGGTCTCTGTCGTATGGCGGTTCTAGCTGGTACTCTCTATGGCTGAATATGTCTGCTCTGAGGAGGTTCGCCCTGGAGATGTTTACTTGAATATGGCATCTGGGGATGGCCACCTGGATATGCATCATGGGATATGTCCACTGGTGTCTGCCCAGGACCCAAGTTCTAGCCTCTTTTATCCTCCTGAGGCCTGGGAAAATCCATCAGGTGATTGGAGACGAAGTTGCAGGTGTGAGGTCAGAGGTTGCTGTTGATGCTAAGATGTCATTTAAATAGAGCTGATAATACCATATTTGGTTTGAGACTTGTGAGATTCATTCTGTTTACTTGTTCAAAGGTTTACTTCCCCTCTTTTAACAATAGGTTGTTATATTTTAACACCAGATTGTTATAATTTTTTAACAGTTGTTGATGGAAAGGGTAATATTCAATCCATTTTCTGTGTGATGTTTTCTTAATGATTGTGATGGAAAAATAGGCAAAAAATTTCCTTAATTTTGAGCAAAATCAGGTTTTCCATCTCACAATAGCCAACCACTTTATGCTTGGAAACCTGATACCCCCTATCTCCTTTGTGAACTTTTTAGCAATTTCTTGGATTATTGGCCCAGTGATTTGGATGTTAACTGCATGCATTTGTTTGAACCAGTGTATTGTGGCTTTATTGACTTTAACCAGTGAAGTTTTTCTCTTTTTTTTTGTTGTAAATCTCTGCTTTCTTTAGCATATCTCACCAAGTACTCATTTTTACATTTTTGGAATGTGCTTACAGTTGTCTTGCTGACATCAAATGTTCCACCATCCTTCTTTGGCAGTTGTTTTCTACAAAATGTAAAAGATCAAACTTCTCCTTCAATGTCATTTTTTTCAGTTCTTTCCTTTTTGCCATCATGACCCAACAGCAAAATTGTCCAATCAACTTGCATAGAGAAAAGAAAAGTAAAGCCTGGTTATTTCTCATACAAGTGCTTTGCACCTTGCTGTGATGGCTGCTGCAAGGCAAGTAAAACAGCTCAGTTTTTCTAAACTGTAGAAAAATACTTTTGTGTGAATATCAGCTTATAGATATTATTTTTACGGGAGCATGTGAATGATCTAACTCCTCAAATTTTATGCCTTTGTACTTAAATTGTCAATAAGGACTTATTTATTACAGTAGAGTCCCGTAAACTTGGCCTAATGTGGACCGAAGGGTGGCCGAGTTTGTGAAAATGCCAGGTTATTGGGAATGGGGTTAAAAAAAAAAAGTACAAGTGTGGAGTCCTCAGAAAATACTGTACTGTACTTGTATGTATTGTTTGCTTGAGAATACAACAAAGAATAAAATGCCCAAATACCCTTAAACAAAGGAAAAGTACATACTTTATGAAGACATAGAGCCATTACTACATAAAAATGAAAATTAATGAATACACAGTGTACAGTAATTTACCTGATAAGACAGAACTCAGAAAAATACTTTATGAAACATAAATCTGTCTATAATGAAAATGAACTAGGGGTTTTTTCGCCCTGCCAGTGTGGCTGAGTTATCCGGATTGCCGGGTTATCGAGTGCTGCGTTTTCGGGACTCTACTGTACTAGGACTTAATATGTAACCTAGCATTACAAAAGAGGACATTGAAAATTCTTTATTAAGAATAAATGCACCAGAATGGCTAATTAAATTATGTTTATTAATAATTAAAAACAATTACTTCCAGTTTGATAAAAAATTCTACACCCAAATGGATGGAATACCTATGGGAACTTGCATAGGTCCAAAACTGGCAGAAATATTCATGATAGACATTGATGAACAGATTAGTAATATACAAGGAATTGAATTTTACAACAGTTATGTGGATGACTGTATTATAATATTTGATAAAAGAAAAACAAATGAGAATTTAATATTAGAACAAGCTAACCAAATAAAAGAAAATAT